CTTACTGAGATACCATGCCACAGTTTAACATGAATACCCGACTCAGACGCAGTATAATGACTCCGAGCCTGACTCAGGGTAACAACAATTACCATCTTTTAACGTCTTTTGGTATGACGCGGCCGGGGATCAAACCAACGACCTTCCGCTCTCCAGGCTGAAGCTCTATTCCCAACACCACGGAGGCGGTATAAGCAGTAAGGAAGACATAGAATGGATATTTTTTATTCACAATATGAAACATATACACCATTGTCATTGACCAAGGTTCCCTATGACATACATGGAACAGTAGATTTACAATGTGAAGATCATCTATGCTCCATATCTTGTATGGCCACCATTTGGGTCCAAAACTGACTGGTATCATCGTCCAATGGAAGCAATCAGATCCCTAATTGTGGCCTGGGGAATGTTCGCCCACTCTGTCTGCAGTGCTTTTGCCTGTAAACACAACGTCTCGATGAAACCCACGAGCATGGGTATGGTGCTGACAAACCTTGAAACATAATCGGGGCGAACCGGGAATCATAGGTTTCTGGCGTGCCCAAGGGACGCAACGCGCCTTAGACTACTGGGCCACCCGTGCCCCCTCTCTCAAGTAGCGTAGCCGTATGAGTCCAGCCTGTGCTTTTGGAAGGGCCCGTGTTGTCCCGTGTGTCTGATAACGGTTCCCCAGCCATGTGATGGTGCTTGGTGCTACGTGGAAAAAAACCTGGCTCCAGCTGAAGATGATTCTCCTGTTTGCAGTCGGCCAATGACGTTGTTGCGTTGGGCTTCGGTCAGTCGTAGCATCTTTTGCTGTTCATTTGCTGTAAGATTATGATAGCATGCAAATAAAAAAACATCTTTTTATTGCCAAACAAGTAATGTTGCACGGGCATGTCATGTTTATGTGTTTCGGCGCCATAATCTCACGTGGTTGTGTTTTTGTTCTTTGTTTTTGTTTTTTTTTCTCTCACCATATTTCTGCAGTACCCCATTCTTTCCACACAAACAAATCCCAATCCATGCAGAAATAAACGATTCATTTTTGGTATTATGTTTTTATGGATATCGGCAACACTATGTCACATATTTACAATTGTATTACTTTTGCGTTTCTCGTTATTATAAAGTATATATACAGACGATAATATTCATGCAGTTTTACATTAATTGGCATGGAATCTTTAAAATATGCTTATTTCTTGTTTCTATCAAAACATTAGCTTCCAAAGTATCTTTCTTTCTTTGTATTTTCTTTCTTATATTGGGTTATATGCTGACTAATGTTCTTGACGCTCTGAAGTACTGATCACATACTCCCCACGAATGGCCTCCATTTTAACATTAAGTCACAGATACAGGTACAGTTAAACACTTAGGAGATTAATCGTACTCGCACATTGTCAATGGCAGTGTATTGTAGCTGTGTTAAATTGGTTCTGTTGAGATTCGCCCATTGCATTGTATTTGGATTAGTTGTCTGGAATGTAGTATTATTTGATGTAAGCAGTGGTGAGGAAGTTACTATATTTAGATGCCAGTGTCATGTGTGATGTGTGATCTTTCGGTATACCTTTGACTGGTATGGAGCGTTAGGGAATATTCTGGACACTAGTCAGACTGTATAGAAGGAGACAATAGCGTGCCTCCTGCATCTTACACACCATATCTCACATTTCATTACATGAAGACCAGCTTTCGTGTGAAGATCACTTATCACCCAGGATTCCCTGCCTAGGCAATCTAGGAAGCTTGACCAGAGTCGCCGCTGGGTGAATATATTATTATCACTGACTTGTGCTATCATCACTATATTTTTGTAGTAATTTATATTGATTTGTAAATTGAATTGTGTAATACATCGTTGTTTGTCTACCATTTGTTGTTTGTTTATTGGTTTCACACTAACTTATTTTACGTACAGATTTCTGGCTCAACAAGTTTGTTTCAATTTGGGAATCGACACGGAACAATATTTAAAATACATTGTAAAATTTTAAAGGTATCAATAGATATTTTTCAAGAAGAAGTATTCATATTCATTCACAGAGATGAGTCCTGATGATGGCCAAGATCAACGCTCATTTAACATTGGGTTTTTTCACTCTGAGATTGTAGCGCCTTGTGTATTTAGACCACGTCATCTATATTTCATATTTAGATCATAAAGATTCAGAGTGACAAAAACTGTATGACAGGAGGGATGACTTCAACGTTACAATAGCAATATTCCTGCAGCTCCAGCCTTTGGTGTCGCATTACGCAACCTTTGATGTACATCCGAGCATGCTCTTTCTACGAAGATTTCCAAGAGCATCATACAACTCTTGCTGAAGAACTTGTTGATCAAGCTCACGGGTCTCATTGAAGGCTTCAGCAAAGTTTATGGTAGACATTTCCAAGTTTGAAGCATCAGTGACAAACATGATGTCCGATGCAATTCCCTATATAGACTACATGTTCCCGAGTTTTTTCAGGTGAACAATTGACTTGCCTTTGAATGTCTTTGTGGCGGGTTCCACCGGAAGGGCAGGATGCGCTCACCTTTTCGGGACAACGCCTTCGCCTCATTGCTATTTATTAATGATTAATAAACATATTCTCATGATACAGTCGGAATCTTATAATAGTCTCTGTTTTTAGCAGATATTTCTTATAAATATGGAATAAGGATATGTCACTTTTATTTTATTGGACAAACAAGAAGCATTATGACAACGAATAGGCTGTCCAGTTTACTTCCGCGTCATCCTGACTAAAGATAGTGAGTACTTTCCTGAAGTGTCTGTCACTCCAAATCTTTTTTTTTCACATTTTTATCTTACTTCAAGCTCTAGGTCGATCGTAACTCCCATTCTTTAACACTGACTTACGACAGTCGTAGCGCTAAGATCACTTTGTAGAACGGGTCCCAGGTTGGTAAACGATATCAGCTTAAGTCAAACTTCTTTTCCAAATTCCCTGGGGTGGGGTAGTTTAGTACTTCCCCATATGGCGTTCGCTCCCCATATGGGTTCAATGTATGAAGCTCGTTTAATTTATGATGTCCTCCGTGACATTGCAGGAATATTGCTAAAAGCGACGTAAAACCATTCTCACTCCAAATTCCCTTGTTCTGATTTTGCCAATCCGAGCCAAAATGCAAAAAGTAACAACGTTTGTTTTCGAATATTTGAACAGGAGCGGGTCTTTGACCCAAGTTAATTTTCATTCGAGATGCAGATATAAACAGTATATACATATGGCAAAAATTCGTCTTGGATCACGGACTTGCTCATACTAAAATATAGATTTAAAGTTCGAAATTTTCATTGATTTAAGGATTGAAGTTGTAGCTGTTGACGTTCATGCGATGCGCTTCACACGGTCCATTTGCTCACGTGAAGCACTGTCTTCACCAGATGATAAACGACAACAAATACAACCTCAATCCTTATATTCACATAGACATCAACCATAACAAAACAATCCTGTTTAACACCAAACTTTACTTATTTAAAGCGAACTATATTAACGCAGAGAGTTGTTTTTCGTGATGACGTCATCCGTCTCAAACATTCCATGGAAGTGACGTCCCTTAGTTTTACAAATGTCATAAAATGACGGCTACAGCAATGTCATTCTTTTGTAATAGAAGTTAGTGATGCTAGATTTGGAGATTATGGTTAGGGTGCGGTCAATCTCCGTTTCTTTTGGCCTTGAAACATTGCCCTCATGAATGGTCAATAATTGATAATTGTTTGTTTGTTGTTTAACGACACACTTAACAATATTCCAGCTATGTGACGGCGGTCTGTAAATAATCGAGTCTGGACCAGACAATTCAGTGGTTGACATCATGAGCATCGATCTACTCAACTGGAATACAATGACATGCATCAACCAAGTCAGCGAGCCTGACCACCCGATCCCGTTAGTCACCTCATATGACAAGCATGGGTTGCTGAAGACAAATTCTACCCCGGATCTTCACGGGTCTCATGAATAGTGCTCTCATTGTACTCCTCACCTTTCCGATTCCTTATTTAAGTCAGAATGATGATGACTCAGACAAAAATAAAGTGTGAACTTTGTGATTGTGATGTTCTATTCAAAGGAACTAAAACAGACGCAAAACATAGGAAATAGAAACGTGAACGTCAAGTTTTATTGTCATGATATCTGTACATTATTATTATGGACCGACCATTTGATACACTGGGGGGTGCCTGGGATTTTATCGGAAACAAAAAATTGTCCCAATAAATTTTTGAGAAAAGAAATAATTATGCTTTAGACTGTTGAAACAAAAATAATTGTCTGCCACAAAAAAATACATTGCAGCAAGGCATTTTACTTTTTAAAATCCAGGCTAATAGTTTTAAATAAAAACATATCTGGTTTTGTCGCTAGAGTTGAAAACATATCTTATCCAATCTCGATACAAACTGCAAGAACATCCCACCCCCTACCCCGCCCCCGAATATCAACTGTTCGATCCCTAAGCAAAGACCGTTCAAAGTTGCATCGAATGTGTCAACACAAGTGTATATTTGATAGCAACGCAGTGGTACCACGCGTTCACCAATAAATCAATCTTTCCAAGAATATGTAGGACGACAGATTGAAGCAGTTCCACACATCAAGTACATGTACTATTAATGAAGTTTGATACATGGTGGTGTAACGATTCTATCTTGTATCAGTGCATATGGGGGGCACGGATGGCCCAGTCGTCTAAGGCGCCGCGATTCGCTGTGCAGAGTTGCGTCCCTTGGGCACGCCAGAAAACTATGATTGGGGGTTCGAATCCCGGTTCGCCCCAATTATGTTTCTAGGTTTGTCAGCACCATACCCGTGCTCTCGGGTTTCACCGAAGTGGTAAACGTCTTAGACCTGCATCGCTTCGGGCTTTCCTCCGTGATATAACTGGAATACTGTTAAAAGCGGCGTTAAACCCAACTCACTCACTCACTCACTCACTCAGTGCATATGAAACGAGATATGGATGATGGTGATTTTTCTGACCAAGGTTTTCACTGACTGACCAAGGTTTTCACTGACTCTCCAAGGTTTTCACTGACTCTCCAAGGTTTTCACTGACTCTCCAAGGTACTGACTGTCCAAGGTTTTCACTGACACCAAGGTTTATAGGGTATATTTTTCAGTGACTGTCATGAAAACGTGCCCATGATGAATATGTAGTATACGAGTTGTGTGCATATATACACCATGCAATAAATGACGCCCCCAATAGTGCTGACAGCGGCGTAAAACCATACTCACTCACTCACTCACGTATATTTGAACATTTGGTGTACTCACCATTGTTGTTATTTGGAAATTGAAAATCATACCCAATTCCACAAATCGAATTTGAGCTATAATTCTCACCCAGTGGACTACTTCTGATCCACAACCGAGCGGGCTGTGGATGCATGACTAGGGGGCGTATAAATACGTATTTGTGTCCATGCGCACCAATCTGTACACACGTGAAGACATGGTGGCATTTGTCCACAGACTTGGCGACCAAGTATCTCCCACTTTACAGTCCCCGTTGTTGTGAAACACGAAGACGAGACACCTGGGGTTACCAGTACACATGTGGGCACACTCTGGGAAGGTTCTGTTGGAGGCTTGAGCGATGACATTGTCTGCATTTTGAAAATCGTGGTTTGGAACCCAAATGGTTAAAAAGTAGCAAGTGTCTGTAAGCGTCGGTTGATAGCCTGAAATGGACGAAATAGAGTATATTAAAAAAAACATATGCGCAATGTTGTGTGGCACGTGTTAACAACGATGTGGTCGAGGCTTAAATATATGTGACCACTTGTTAACATAGAGATCTGAACACATTTGACCAGATTTTAATCCTGAAGCCAAAACATGTGAACATAATTATTTTGTTTGTTTGTTTGTTTGTTGTTTAAAGCCGCACTCAGCAATATTCCAGCTCTATGACGGCGGCCGTAAAATAATCGAGTCTGGACCAGACAATCCAGTGATTGACATCATGAGCATCGATCCACGCAATTGGGATCGATGACATGCATCAACCAAGTCAGCGAGTCTGACCACCCGATCCCGTTAGTCGCCTTTTACGACAAGCATAGGCGCCTTTTATGGCAAGCATGGGTTGCTGAAGACCTATTCTACCCCGGAATCTTGAACATAATTATGTCACGACTTGTACGTGTGAACACTCGCTGTATGGAGCGTATCAAGTACGCGAAAGAGCGAGTATGGTCTATTATCGGTTTGAAAACAAGAGTTTGTTCAGTGTCTGAAACAAAGTCTGATGTAGGAGGTTTTTTAAAAAAACAACGAGCATTGGTATCGTGTCGAGTTCATTAACCGGGCGACTGTGGGATTCAAAGAGGGGTCAAAAACAAGGAGTGATAATTGCATGACTACCTGTTCAGACGTAGGATAGACGCCGCTCATCTAAGCTTACAATACAATACTACCTTCTGATTGGTTCTATGTTGTCCGCTCATGAAGCCCGCTGAGAAATCAATCGGAACACACCTTAGGTAACATGTTTATCTCGCATAAGTATCATTGACCTGAAATGAACCGATGTTTATCCGAATGTATTGGGTAAACGGAAGTAAATCGTTTCGTCTGTTATCTGTCAAAATAGCTGACTCAAAGCATTTTACTCGGACATTTCGGACATATAATCCGCATCTGTATCAGTAAATGTCTGTGAATAGACCACTTATAATCTACACACACTGCATATCGGCGTGAAGCTATCGGTTTTCGTTATTGACGGGAAGACCCCCGTCCTCTGCTTTCATGTCAGCTATGACATGTGTGGCTCATTCGTGACCAGCTCGTGTTACTCCGGGACAAGCCGAATAGCGACTCGTGCCTCTCTCGTGGCCATTTTTGCGACCGGGTTCAGTCTTAGCGCAAACGGGCATACCAAAAACAATTGTCAACTCGTTGCGTAATGGTTCACATATGTTTCCCCACATATTATACATATATTTCAGGTGCAATTTAAAGCACATCGGGACGTGCTGAATTATACAGTATGATTGAACACCTTTAACTGTGTCTTGGGTATAATTTTAGATGCAAGACATATGCAAAATCAAAAAATATTTCTGAGGCATTCTTCGACGAAGAACTTGAAACCATACTCGTATTCTGATTGGTTTGTCGTATTTTCGCACATAACATTCATCGATAGGGGGACGAGTCTTCTTGCAGGTTCCGGAAAGGGGAGAGTGGTGACGAATGGCTAGAGCAGTCCGACGCGTTTCACAACAAATAAGGTTTCAACCGTAGAGTCTGGACCAGACAGTCCATTGATTGACATCATGAGCATCGATCCGCGCTCAACTGTCGCCGTTTTAAGTTACGTTTCATAAGAGTTGGTCTGGCTGATAAATCGGAAGAATACTGTTTACACTGCCAGAACAACACTTTCGTCAGCTTTCTTACGAGTGAGTTAGTATGGTTTTACGCCGATTTTAGCAATATTCCAGCAATATGACGGCGGCGGACACTAGAAATGGGCTTTGTACCCATGTAGGGAATCGACCCCGGGTCTTCGGCGTGAGGTTCGAACGTTTTAACCACTGGACTGACCGACCTCCCATCTTTCTTATGGAAAACTATAGAAGATAGATAATGATCATGGATGAAGAAATTATAGTGACGGAATAACTTGAATAACTCGGTTGTCCGATGTGACGCATTGTCGCTTGTTATTTTATAATAACCTTATGTTCAAGGTTAACGACATTAAATTATGATTACTTGTCCATAAACGTGTTTCCGCGGTTCCACCTACCGTTGTTCCCCTCTCTCTCTCCAACCCCCCCCCCCCCCCCCCCCCCCCCAACCCCACCCCCACCCCCACCCACCCCTTATACTCATAACAACATGATAGTTTCTCAAACAACATTTTCCAGTGACTGGAATAAAAATAACAATCAGCAGATATTGTTGGGTACATAGTATTCTTTGCCGTGTACCGTATTGACATTAAACAGACTATTCCCTATTTTAATTAATTTGCAAATCGTCGTTCTCATTTAGAACCGGGGGCACGGGTGGCCCAGTCGTCTAAGGGGCCGCAATTCGCTGTGCAGACTTACGTCCCTTGGGCACGCCAGAAAACTATGATTGTGGGTTCGAATCCCGGTTCGCCCCGATTATGTTTCTAGGTTTGTCAGCACCATGGTCGTGCTCGTGGGTTTCACCGAAGTGGTAAACGTCTGAGACCTGCATCACTTCGGGCTTTCCTCCCACATTAAGCTGACACGCTGTGATATAACTGGAATAATGTTAAAAGCAGCGTTAAACCCAACTCACTCACTCACTCACTCACTCACTCACTCACTCACTCACTCACTCACTCATTTAGAACCAACCGGACCGCAGGTGAAAATGTCATCAGGGCAACTGTCTGTCAACTGCTACGTGAATGAATATATTAATTGTTAGGAATTGTAGCTGAATTATGGATTATATTGTAGCAATAGTGAGTGAGTGAGTGAGTTAAGATTTAACGTCACATCGGCAGTATTTCAGCCATATCGTTGTAGCAATAGAAATAGATCGAACCTCTTACGAAACCCGATGATCCAGGCTGTGCTGTTGTTAGTGAAAGTCCAAGTGATGATGTTGTTTGCCATGCTGTTGAGGCCAAAACAGTCGTTGTTGTTGCTGTTGTCGCATCGTTTGTTGGTGATGATGTTGCCGTTCTAGTTGCTGGTGCTGTCGTTGCAGTTATTGTGGTAGTCGATGTTGTGGTGGAAATGTTTACTATTGAAGGTACGGGTGTAGTAGATGTCGTGGGGGTGGGGGTGGTTGATTTCGAGAATGTGGATGTAGTGGAGGATGTGTTTTTGTGTGTAGTTGTTGGTGTAGTTGTTGGTGTAGTTGTGGGTGTAGTTGTTGGTGTAGTTGTTGGTGTAGTTGTGGGTGTAGTTGTTGGTGTAGTTGTTGGTGTAGTTGTTGATGTAGTTGTTGGTGTAGTTGTTGGTGTAGTTGTGGGTGTAGTTGTTGGTGTAGTTGTGGATGTAGTTGTTGATGTAGTTGTGGATGTAGTTGTTGGTGTAGTTGTTGGTGTAGTTGTTGGTGTAGTTGTGGGTGTAGTTGTTGGTGTAGTTGTTGGTGTAGTTGTTGGTGTAGTTGTGGGTGTAGTTGTGGGTGTAGTTGTGGGTGTAGTTGTTGGTGTAGTTGTTGGTGTAGTTGTGGGTGTAGTTGTTGGTGTAGTTGTGGGTGTAGTTGTGGGTGTAGTTGTTGGTGTAGTTGTTGGTGTAGTTGTGGGTGTAGTTGTGGGTGTAGTTGTTGGTGTAGTTGTTGGTGTAGTTGTGGGTGTAGTTGTGGGTGTAGTTGTGGGTGTAGTTGTTTGTGTAGTTGTTGATGTAGTTGTGGGTGTAGTTGTTGGTGTAGTTGTGGGTGTAGTTGTGGGTGTAGTTGTGGGTGTAGTTGTGAGTGTAGTTGTGGGTGTAGTTGTTGGTGTAGTTGTGGGTGTAGCTGTTGGTGTAGTTGTTGGTGTAGTTGTGGGTGTAGTTGTTGGTGTAGTTGTTGGTGTAGTTGTGGGTGTAGTTGTTGGTGTAGTTGTGGGTGTAGTTGTTGGTGTAGTTGTTGGTGTAGTTGTTGGTGTAGTTGTGGGTGTAGTTGTGGGTGTAGTTGTTGGTGTAGTTGTGGGTGTAGTTGTGGGTGTAGTTGTTGGTGTAGTTGTTGGTGTAGTTGTTGGTGTAGTTGTGGATGTAGTTGTTGATGTAGTTGTGGGTGCAGTTGTGGGTGTAGTTGTGGGTGCAGTTGTGGGTGTAGTTGTTGGTGTAGTTGTGGGTGTAGTTGTTGGTGTAGTTGTGGGTGTAGTTGTGGGTGTAGCTGTTGGTGTAGTCATGGGTGTAGTTGTGGGTGTAGTTGTGGATGTAGTTGTTGATGTAGTTGTTGGTGTAGTTGTGGGTGTAGTTGTGGGTGTAGTTGTTGGTGTAGTTGTGGATGTAGTTGTGGGTGTAGTTGTGGATGTAGTTGTGGATGTAGTTGTGGGTGTAGTTGTGGGTGTAGTTGTGGGTGTAGTTGTTGGTGTAGTTGTGAGTGTAGTTGTGGGTGTAGCTGTTGGTGTAGTTGTTGGTGTAGTTGTGGGTGTAGTTGTTGGTGTAGTTGTTGGTGTAGTTGTGGATGTAGTTGTGGGTGTAGTTGTGGGTGTAGTTGTGGGTGTAGCTGTTGGTGTAGTCATGGGTGTAGTTGTGGGTGTAGTTGTGGATGTAGTTGTTGATGTAGTTGTTGGTGTAGTTGTGGGTGTAGTTGTGGGTGTAGTTGTTGGTGTAGTTGTGGATGTAGTTGTGGGTGTAGTTGTGGATGTAGTTGTGGATGTAGTTGTGGGTGTAGTTGTGGGTGTAGTTGTGGGTGTAGTTGTTGGTGTAGTTGTGAGTGTAGTTGTGGGTGTAGCTGTTGGTGTAGTTGTTGGTGTAGTTGTGGGTGTAGTTGTTGGTGTAGTTGTTGGTGTAGTTGTGGATGTAGTTGTGGGTGTAGTTGTGGGTGTAGTTGTTGGTGTAGTTGTTGGTGTAGTTGTTGGTGTAGTTGTGGGTGTAGTTGTGGGTGTAGTTGTGGGTGTAGTTGTGGGTGTAGTTGTTGGTGTAGTTGTTGATGTAGTTGTTGGTGTAGCTGTTGGTGCAGTTGTGGGTGTAGTTGTGGGTGTAGTTGTGGGTGTAGTTGTTGGTGTAGTTGTGGATGTAGTTGTTGGTGCAGTTGTGGGTGTAGTTGTGGGTGTAGTTGTGGGTGTAGTTGTTGATGTAGTTGTGGGTGTAGTTGTTGGTGTAGTTGTGGGTGTAGTTGTTGGTGCAGTTGTGGGTGTAGTTGTGGGTGTAGTTGTGGGTGTAGTTGTTGATGTAGTTGTTGGTGTAGTTGTGGATGTAGTTGTTGGTGCAGTTGTGGGTGTAGCTGTTGGTGTAGTCATGGGTGTAGTTGTGGGTGTAGTTGTTGGTGTAGTTGTGGGTGTAGTTGTTGGTGTAGTTGTTGGTGTAGTTGTGGGTGTAGTTGTTGGTGTAGTTGTGGGTGTAGTTGTGGGTGTAGTTGTTGGTGTAGTTGTTGGTGTAGTTGTGGGTGTAGCTGTTGGTGTAGTCATGGGTGTAGTTGTGGGTGTAGTTGTTGGTGCAGTTGTGGGTGTAGTTGTGGGTGTAGTTGTTGGTGCAGTTGTGGGTGTAGTTGTGGGTGTAGTTGTTGGTGTAGTTGTTGGTGTAGTCATGGGTGTAGTTGTGGGTGTAGTTGTTGGTGTAGTCATGGGTGTAGTTGTGGGTGTAGTTGTTGGTGTAGTTGTGGGTGTAGTTGTTGGTGTAGTTGTGGGTGTAGTTGTGGGTGTAGTTGTGGGTGCAGTTGTGGGTGCAGTTGTGGGTGTAGTTGTGGGTGTAGTTGTGGATGTAGTTGTGGGTGTAGTTGTGGGTGTAGTTGTTGGTGTAGTTGTTGGTGTAGTCATGGGTGTAGTTGTGGGTGTAGTTGTTGGTGTAGTTGTTGGTGTGGTTGTTGGTGTAGTTGTTGGTGTAGTTGTGGGTGTAGTTGTTGGTGTAGCTGTGGGTGTAGTTGTTGGTGTAGTTGTGGGTGTAGTTGTGGGTGTAGTTGTGGGTGCAGTTGTGGGTGCAGTTGTGGGTGTAGTTGTGGGTGTAGTTGTGGATGTAGTTGTGGGTGTAGTTGTGGGTGTAGTTGTTGGTGTAGTTGTTGGTGTAGTCATGGGTGTAGTTGTGGGTGTAGTTGTTGGTGTAGTTGTTGGTGTGGTTGTTGGTGTAGTTGTTGGTGTAGTTGTGGGTGTAGTTGTGGGTGTAGTTGTGGGTGTAGTTGTGGATGTAGTTGTGGGTGTAGTTGTGGGTGTAGTTGTTGGTGTAGTTGTTGGTGTAGTTGTGGGTGTAGTTGTGGGTGTAGTTGTTGGTGTAGTTGTGGGTGTAGTTGTTGGTGTAGTTGTTGGTGTAGTCATGGGTGTAGTTGTTGGTGTAGTTGTTGGTGTAGTTGTTGGTGTGGTTGTTGGTGTAGTTGTTGGTGTAGTTGTGGGTGTAGTTGTGGGTGTAGTTGTGGGTGTAGTTGTGGATGTAGTTGTGGGTGTAGTTGTGGGTGTAGTTGTTGGTGTAGTTGTGGGTGTAGTTGTGGGTGTAGCTGTTGGTGTAGTCATGGGTGTAGTTGTGGGTGTAGTTGTTGGTGTAGTCATGGGTGTAGTTGTGGGTGTAGTTGTTGGTGTAGTTGTGGGTGTAGTTGTGGGTGTAGTTGTTGGTGTAGTTGTGGGTGTAGTTGTGGGTGTAGTTGTTGGTGTAGTTGTGGGTGTAGTTGTGGGTGTAGTTGTGGGTGTAGTTGTTGGTGTAGTTGTGGGTGTAGTTGTGGGTGTAGTTGTGAGTGTAGTTGTTGGTGTAGTTGTTGATGTAGTTGTGGGTGTAGTTGTTGATGTAGTTGTGGGTGTAGTTGTTGGTGTAGTTGTTGGTGTAGTTGTTGGTGTAGTTGTTGGTGTAGTTGTTGGTGTAGTTGTTGGTGTAGTCATGGGTGTAGTTGTGGGTGTAGTTGTTGGTGCAGTTGTGGGTGTAGTTGTGGGTGTAGTTGTTGGTGTAGTTGTGGGTGTAGTTGTGGGTGTAGTTGTTGGTGTAGTTGTTGGTGTAGTCATGGGTGTAGTTGTGGGTGTAGTTGTTGGTGCAGTTGTGGGTGTAGTTGTGGGTGTAGTTGTTGGTGTAGTTGTTGGTGTAGTTGTTGGTGTAGTTGTTGGTGTAGTCATGGGTGTAGTTGTGGGTGTAGTTGTGGGTGTAGTTGTGGGTGTAGTTGTGGGTGTAGTTGTTGGTGTAGTCATGGGTGTAGTCATGGGTGTAGTTGTGGGTGTAGTTGTGGGTGTAGTTGTGGGTGTAGTTGTTGGTGTAGTTGTTGGTGTAGTTGTTGGTGTAGTTGTTGGTGTAGTTGTTGGTGTAGTCATGGGTGTAGTTGTGGGTGTAGTTGTTGGTGCAGTTGTGGGTGTAGTTGTGGGTGTAGTTGTTGGTGTAGTTGTTGGTGTAGTTGTGGGTGTAGTTGTTGGTGTAGTTGTTGGTGTAGTTGTTGATGTAGTTGTGGGTGTAGTTGTTGGTGTAGTCATGGGTGTAGTTGTGGGTGTAGTTGTGGGTGTAGTTGTTGGTGCAGTTGTGGGTGTAGTTGTTGGTGTAGTTGTTGGTGTAGTTGTGGGTGTAGTTGTTGGTGTAGTTGTTGGTGTGGTTGTTGTGGGTGTAGTTGTTGGTGTAGTTGTTGGTGTAGTTGTTGGTGTAGTTGTGGGTGTAGTTGTGAGTGTAGTTGTGGGTGTAGTTGTGGGTGTAGTTGTGGGTGTAGTTGTTGGTGTAGTTGTTGGTGTAGTTGTGGGTGTAGTTGTTGGCGTAGTTGTGGGTGTAGATGTTGCTGTAGTTGTAGGTATAAAGTCTTCAGTCCAATCTAGAAATGACAACGAAAATATATCTGTAATGAGATATCAACCATAACATCAAAATCGAATTGGACAGAATATATTGATTTCGTTATATTACCATAAAAACTCAAATCGAAAGTCTTCAATCATTTACTAAAACCATAATATAAACATTTCCTGTAGTGTTACGTAATAAGGGGGACAACCCACGACTTTAACACATATCTATAAAATACAATATTGGCTCCTCAAGAAACTGTAGATCAATGCGTAGGAATATCTTTAAAAATATATCACCGTTACCTAAAACGTTAAGGTCACTGCACGTGGGCAGATCACAGAAGGAGGGTGGGGCTTTCAGGGCTCTTAAAAAGGGCTCTTTTGAAAAATTGAATGCAAGACACCTTCCCTTGGAAATTATTCGTCCCATCAACCGACCTCCCGATTGTTACATCACCTAAGGCATTGACCTCTTTTCTGTGACCCCTGTAGATCTTTTCTTAAGGAATGTTTGAAAATTATAGGAAC